AATCAAGTCTATGTGTCACAGCCCGGATATTCTTGCTGTTTCTGTAGTTTCCAAATTCTAATGCATGTTTCTACAGATTTTTACCTTAAAGCAACATACACACTCTATATTCAATTTATCTTTAACATTTATAACTATTACCAAGTGTTCATTCTCCATCTCTTCAATGGTCCTCTTATTTGCATATGGAAACTATACATCTGCCTCTGTTGATACATGTGCTGCCTCCTTTCTATTTCGTGATTCCAGATAATAAGCAATTCCTCTTCTCACTGCTTTCATTTGAACCACTCTCTTTTCTTTATATACATCAGTATCATCAATCTGAAATATAACATATTAGTGCTGGTCAACAACATTTCTCTATGTAAGAGCTTAGATTTAATTTTCTACATTTATCATTTAGCAACATTTACACTCTATATTCAATTAATATTTAACTTTTATAACTATTACCAAGTGTTCATTCTCCACCTCTACAATGGTCCTCTTATTTGCATATGGAAACCATACATCTGTCTCTGTTGATACATGTGCTGCCTCCTATTTCGTGATTCCAGATAATAAGCAATTCCTCTCTTCACTGCTTTCATTCGAACTTTTCTCTTTTCTTTATATACCGCAGCTCAAGCATTCTGAAATTTGACACATTAGTGTTGATTAATGACTTTCACCACTAATGTTAATATTCATTCAGTACAGGAATACAACATACCTTTTAATCTCACTGTATTCTCTATATCTTGTTGTTATAACAGACCATCATTTAAATTAATTTTAATCCCTTTTGTCTTCCAACGCAATCTCCGTGTTTTAAATCTTCATTTCGCCATCAAATATTTCTTTCTTGTATGTCATATGGCTAGTCAACCTGAAATTCAATAGACATATCATACCATACATACTTGTATTACTGCTTCAATATTTTCTTCCCATAAAAGATAATCATTGGTATCTAATGGCTCTACGCTGGTGATATTGCATGCGTCCAATATTTTTCTCTTGTTGCATGTGCCCCTTTACTTCAACAGAATAATGTCATTTTACAACTAGGCTCTGCTATCACTAATAAAAGGTATAAAAACAATGGTTTATATCTTACACTATTTAATTACAACTAAAGGTTATGATAATACAAACACTTACATTCTTCTACGTGATGCAGACGCAGCTCCATGCACACAACAATGCATCCCACGTTTCTTTGCAATCTTTTTCTTCTTTCGCATGCACTCTTCTCCTCACTCGAAGAAAAATTAGCAAATTACTGAATTTCTGTGATTAATTTGCGAACTTTTATAATTGAGTTGAAAAGACGTACCTTTGCAGACTTGTGTCAAGTAAAGAAACGAATACTGATTGTCCAATTAAAACTCCTGTTTCGGTTGAACTTGTTGAAGAACATAGAAAACTTTATGGGATTCTTAAATGAATAAAAAGAACGGAAGAGAATGTGATTAGTTATTTTTGTCGTTCAATTGCTTTGTTTATTTCGTCCATCACGTCACGTGGTTTTAAGCGCTCTCCTGGCGCCATCTGTGCTCATCTTTCTAATAAATCAATTCGGCAATGGAAAATTAACAAACTACTCAATTCCTGCGACTAATTTATGAACTTTTATAATCGCATCGTAAAGCCAGATCCTTGGCGAACTTTCTCATATAACTTTCGATAATAATTTCTTCTTAATCAATTGATTAAAAATAATTATTGCATGACATGTTTGAAATGTTGCCGCATATATCAATGGTTTCTCATTAATAACTATTTTTCATGCAATTAATTTATGACTTTTATGCATTCATTATAAAAACAACGTTTTTGCGCATCTTCTCATATAACTTTTGATCATATTTTTCTTCTAGTTTTGAACATAATTAAATATTTTTCTAAATAATTATTCTCGGCGTTGTTTTCAAATTTCCCGCGCCATCAAACATTATTAATGACACACTAATTAGAAACAAATTATGTACAAAAGTAACATAGGAATGTTGCTCAGAGTTTCAGCTTTGCGATAAGGCTATAAAAGTTCATAAATTAATCACAGAAATTGGGTAATTCGTTAATTTTCACTGACGAGTCCATTCTATCCTCTTCTAACCGCGTTCTGTCCTTGTTTATCACGTGTCGAGGTTAGACGACCTCCTTGCTTATTCTATGTTCCTATCACTTTTCTGATCATGTGGTCCAAATTCATAGATGGCGTTGATTGTTGGCGCCACAATTTGTATTGAATTGGTTACCGACTTTAATTATGTGACCACAATATATTTTAATAAATTAATTCGGCAATGAAAGTCTAACAAATTAACACGTTTCTATAATTAATTGTAGAACGTTTATTGCTACATTGTTATGCTAGGGTAGTATAAGCATTATTTTTATGCAATTTTCGTAAATAATTTGTTTGTGATTGCCTCGTTGTTAATAGTTATTTGTAGAAGTACATGAATTGGTAACAAGGTCAGCGTGATAATGAATAAACTAAAATGAATAAAAGTAAATCATTGACAATTTGATAATCATTAAAATTACTTTTTTCTTAATATGGCATATTCTTTTATATCTTCTGAAAGTCTTATATCACTTATATTTATTATTATATATTTCCACAAATTGTTAAAGAATTTTATATATCTCTTTCGCTACGAGTGATTGAATTTTTTCGTGATACATTCTTCTTTTAAATATTCTATTTCGGTAAGATTAAATTATTTTCAATGAAAATAAAGTTCTGTGTTATTGGTAGTTTAGTAGATATTCGTAATCCTGCGATACTTGTAATATTTTTGTGTTTTCTTGAGACACACTGAGATAAATTAATTTCATCAGTAATTGTATTTTAACTACTTTTAAATGTAGATCATTTTTACATCTCTATAAACATATAAATTAAAATTCTTAATAATCCCTTACATTTTTGTACGAATACTAATAATTTGAAATACGTAATACCCTAATGAATTACAGTACTGAACTTGAAGAAAAGAAATTAGAAAATTAAGAAACTTTTTAACATCATATAGTTTATAAGTCTTAAATCAAAAAGTAAATAATCTATATACCTTATGTTGTTTGAAAAGAATTGTTAATAGACTGTTGAGAGAAATAATCATTATTACATATTCTAAATTTCTTATTTAATTTATTACATTTTTTTCAATAAAATTTAAATAAAAAATATCGTGGAAGGCAATACATAATTTATTATTTTCTTATAACTCGAGCAAGAGTAGTTTTCCAGATATCTGCTTCATGTTTTGCGTCGTTATCTTCCACCAATATAGAATTCTGACCGATTAATCGTTTCCCAGATAATGGAAACGATTAAGAAGTAGTTAAACACTGAACGATTAAACGTTCGTAATAGGGTGTACATATCGTTCAATTGCTATGTATTCCAATATTTTCCTGCTTCCAAAAACAATATATTCCAGCGGCATCAAAAATTATTAATATTAAAGAAGATTTTATAATTTACGACATTGTTGAACTAGAAAGGGAGCCGGGTAAAAATTAAAGAGTGGGTAAAACTGAAGTGAAACCGTATCGTAACAGAAATTAAAGGCTTTATTCTATAAACAATTATTGTATAAATAATATAAACAATTATTCTATAAACTATTAAGGAAGCACTTCCGACAGGGTACGTCTCTGCTCGACAACTGACCTAGGATTTTCGGGTTTTCTTCCACAATGGAAAACTCTCACATCTAGACCCCTTCAGGCACGTCATAAATTTCTTGCGTCTATTCCAACAGACATTGCAAAGCATTTTTCTTCCCTTTTACAGAATTAAGATTTTTCAACCCCTTAACCCGAGATAACGTGTTAATTAATTTGTTATTAAAAAATGCTTACCACCCATAAATTGTCTTATATAATTATATTATTATATTTTATTGTTCTATATAAATTGTCTCATATAAGTAGTCCTAAGTAATTTATTTTATATTAACTATTCTGTATAAATTGCCCCATATGAATTATTTTGTGACGAAACTTCAAAATCTAATTCAATACGTGGCTCATTTTTCATATTTTTCAATAAAATCAATTTTCCTGTAAATTATTTATTCAATCCTTCAAAAACATCTGTTATTCAGTTTAATAAAGTTTATTCTTTAATAATCTTAAATTTCGATACTTAGCGAAGAAACAAATTAAGACATTTATCGTAATTATTCCACATTTATCGTTGACGCAATGAGCTAACTCGTTTTCGACCATTTTCACACCTGTAGAACGAATCTTCCATTAGAAAACTCCTACTTAAAAACTCATCAAAAGATGGTATTGTAGGATGCCGAAAACTGATTTTATTGTCTTCAGCGTACAGGAATGAAATATTTATATCTTCCTTGTTTAATCGAAGGAATATCGGGTCTGCGCGAAAGTTCTTGAGACACCGAAAACGGACAGAACAATACGAATAGAATAATACGAACACTAAACTCGGAAAACTAATTTAACTCAGGGAAAGAACACTAAAATAACGTAACTATAACACACGAAAACACACTTTGATTTAACTCTCTCTAACACCGAACGACTCATGCTCGTGTTCGTTACAATCTATTTCTAAAATAGATTCCTGAAATGATACCCTACAGTATTTATATTACGACCATATTTACCTAACCCAACACCCGCAGGAAGAGTACTTCCGGTGAACTCACAACTTGTTAGTCGATACCCAATCCACAGCCACAGAATTCGAAATAAAGGAACATTCGCTTTTAATTTTCGCTTTCACCCTGTTTCGCAATTCGCAAAAATAATACGGCTTAATCGAATCTCCATGGTAGAAATTCCTCGAGAACTGTCCTCACCACGGCCATCGTAAAACCTCGTGCCACCGCGTGGTGTAATAGTAAACGTTCAAACGGGAACGCGAATAGACGTGGCAAGGATTTGACGCTAAGTAATAACGTCGAAAGCAGAGCAAAATGAAAGAAATATTCTCTGTTATTTTCCCTCTGTTTTTATATCCGCAGCCGGACTTTTGGCAGTGCTATCCCTGCTTCATATTACATCCAGTGCTTTGGGTGGCCGCGGCTCCTGCCAGATGAGCAGTGCCACGGACTCGGTTGGCGAGAGCCTTCTAAACACTAGGCCCGAGAATTATGATCGTTTCGATGAAGTTCTGGTAAGTGAACAAGGTAAAAGCTTAATTCCCTCGTCCATTGCATTAGGAGATTAACGTTAAGAATCCTCGAGCTGGTAAGCCGGTAGTGTAATTTAATATAGCTGTACGGGCGAGAATAATCCTTTCGTTGTTCTAGTAACTTTCTGAAATTTCAGTCGAATTTTATTTTTTTATTCTTGGCAATGGAAATTTAGAATGTCATGGGAGGAACGTGTCTGAGAATAATCTTTTCGTTGTTTTGATAACTTTGTTAGATTTCGGTTAAATTTTATTTTTTTATTCTTGGCAATGGAAATTTAGAATGTCAGAGAACTTGTCGAGGTTTCGAGAAGATAGATCGAAAGTAATATAGAGAGTGAAATGGTGAAGATTTTGGGTGAGATGTACGGTTGAAATGTAAAGGAATTCGCGATAGTTGAATTTGATTAATCATTGAGGTTTTGTAATTGGAATTGATTTTTTAATGAATTTTATTGTCGATTGGAAAAGTAAATAAGTGGAGATAAATTAGTTTGTGGTATTAAGAATATTAGAAAAAGTTACAGAAGATGGATTAAGAATAAGTTAAATTATGGTCAAATTAAGATACAGAAACACTCGTGTCAGGAACGTTTTATTATTTATATAAATATCTTTTATTAATCTTTTATGGTACCTCAATTTTTCTATAGAACAAAGAAAGGATAAAATTTATTATCTTCTTTAAGAGAAATTTGTACTTTTTATTGTATAATTCGGAAACAAATTTCATAAATGAAAAATTAAAAATTAAAAGTTAAAATTAAAAATTAAAATACACATAAAAATTCGAAATACCTCTCCTCTCGAAAATACAGATATATTAATAATATACAGATAAAGTAATAATATTTAACCTGTTTGGCGAACAAATTCTTAAAAAATATGGTATGAAAACGTTTATTTATTTATTTATTTATCTTATTATTTATTCAGAATTGAATTTTCTAGCTGTGGCTTGATACATGATTTTTGAAATCGAATAAAATGTTTACCTTGCTAAATAAATTTCACGTTTATGAAATCGTAAATTTATTGACATTATAAAAATCTTTACAGTATGTATACAAGTACCTAATTATTATTTCATAATATTTTATAATTTGAAGAGCATTTCGTTTTAATATTATCTCATAATTTGCATATCGTTTTACATTTGGAATATTATGTTATAATTATAATATTTTGAATTTTGCATACCATTAAAATAATATTAAGAATATTATAATGATATTAACGAGAATGAAATTACCGTAGAATGCGTTATAATTTTTTATACTTCCATTAAAATATATCTGCATATTTTTCCATTAGCCCTGCCAAACAAATCATTCGCTCATATTTCTGTTGGAAAATCGGTTTCGAATAACACGGGGACCGATCTCAATTTCGCTCAACAGGTTAAAATGCAGTTAAACGATGTACTAAACACTCTGACACTCTGCACACTTCTACAAATCTTTACAGGAATCTCTACTCTACCTCCACACCCCCATCCACACCCTAGATACGTGGCATTCCGTTACTTTAAAGAATTTTACTCCGATACTTCTTCCGAAGTCCTAAAGTCTGCTTACGTGTTTGCATACGTATTTGCCTTCTTCCTCGTCCCATTTTTAGAACTTATTCCCCCCTCACCCCTGCAGGGGTTGAAAGTTTTTGACATTTCTCATACCGTGTAGGATAGTTCGAACATATCACCGACATCACTTCGCGTTATTGAAAATACCTTTAGAATTTCTTCCACTAATTTTGACATATATTTCTGCACACGAATAGAGATATTTGGAATGGTAACGAAAATGCAAGCAATTAAAATAAAAATATGCAATTTTATTGTGTATTGTATATTAAATAGGAATGAATATTTTTAGAAAAATTATATAGTAATGGTATTTAATAATTGGATAGAATTTGTATACAAATTTTAAAATAATTTTTATTTTGATTAACATTATTAACATAAATTTAATATGAATTTCTTGCAGTCTTCGTAACATTTGACATACGTTTCTTAAAAAAAATATGATTATGTTTAAATTAATGAATTACATTTCACGTATAGAATTTTTCACAAATTTATTGGAAGAATGAGGTACTTTTGTTAGATATGGGAACATAAATTAATAATTTTTATAAAAATTCAAACAAACGGAAATTGGAAAATAATCGATGTAAAAAGACTTGTGAATTTTTATTTCGAAGGTTATTTGAAACAAATCAAGATTTTCATTTCCTCGATTTCTTTCCGTATTCTTTTACCTTCTTATTTGGCTCCATTATTCAATATCGATCTACCAGCATGTTGACATTGTATCTCGTCTAATACCTTCCTCCAACTTTCTTTGATGTCATTTCTTTGTACGATCAGTAGCCCAGTTAAATCAGATCCCAAAGATGAAATTCCAATCCCCAAACCAGTGAAGCATCCGTTCCGAAGTAATCGATAATTTTAAAGCATCCGAAATTGATAACGTTGCAATTGAAATTGCACTGGTAAAGCAATTTCAATTTCAATAATATGTCACGTTTAGAGATGCTTGATTTATTGAGCAATTAGATCTATACATGTACGTACACGTGTAACTTGTCCTCGTATAATTTTTAAAATATTTAAAGCTAAAAAGAATTGATAGTGAAGAAAAAAATTGAAAGATAGAAAACAATTTTTTGGGAATTTTATAAATTCCAAGAACAAGGAGTATCTTCCGAAAAATATTAATTTATAATTTTCTTAAACTGAAACATAATATAAAATCTACTCGAAAGAAGAAAATAAATTTATGTATTTGAAGATATCCGAAAACAAAAATAAATAGTATTAAATACTGTTAAATCTTATTAGTTCCAATTATATTGTTATACTTCCTAAAGAAAATTTGAAAGAAATAAGAAATGAAGAACAAAATAATTTTTTGTACTTAAAAAGAAACCTCAAGGGTAAAAATTATTTCATAAAAAAATATTAATGAGTCATTTTTTTATGCTCTGAAATAAAAGGAGAATCAAAGAATAGGAATAATTTTGTTAAAATTAAAAGAATTCCAGAATAAAAATCTTTTTATAATAGGTTTCTACTTTTTTAAAGTTAAACAATGTGAAACTGTTTAGAGGGAGAAAATAAGTTCGTATATTAAAAAAGAATCGAAAACAGGAAAGTGCAAAATATTAAATAATGATATATGTACTGCTTTACGACATAAACGTGACTGTTCCACCACTTTTGATATTATTAGCTTTCACGTACCTTCGTTTTATGCTTTCATCCCCTGCTATTGCCCCTTAAACTGAACTTCCGAAATCCAATAACAAATTTAGAGTTTTCGAATATTTGCACATTTTTACAAATATAGAACAGTTATTGGAAAAAATAAAATTAATTTATGTTTATAAAATATAAAAATCCCAATTAACAAATTTAAAAAAATATCAAAATAGTCATATTTAAAATTTTGAATCTACTATATATTTCCATGTACTTTTTACAAGTTTCGTAAAGCTATATTTTATTTTTCATATTTAGGTCTTTTTACAACGTACAAAAATAAGTATTAAGAATAGTCAAAGATAAATATCATGGTGAATTCAATATTTTTCTTTAAATGTCTGGAAAGAAAAATATAGGAAACAAGTTATTGAAGCTGAAAAAGGAATATTAAAATAATAAAAATTTTATCTTTTTATACTTTTTAATTGATACAGTAATTTAAAAATTGTACAACAAATATACTAACAAATATAATAACACCAGCTGTATATAACGTATTCATTCCTAAACAATAATTGAAAAACCGTTTTAAAATTTAAGTAATTCAATGTACTTAAACACATTACAAACTTAATTTGCTACATTAGAATATAGAATCTATTATTATCAGATTTTTCAATTAATACATCTTATATTAAAAAATTCCAAAAATTGTTTCACTTTCTGTGCCGACGGAAATATTTCTTCTTTCATTTTCAATATTAATCAAGCAATAACAAAAGAATTACAAAACTGCATGAAAAGTACCAAAAGTGCATTTAAAAAATCGGAAATTAATTCTACACGATTACAAGAATCAAAAGAGCTCAAATACCATCTCGAACATATCACAATCACTCTTAGAAATTCATGGACTTCAACTTATTTCCCGCTCACAGATCGGCTGACTCATTCAATGCACACTATTAACACTTTCCCCTTCTCATTCCCTGTAACCCTCTTATTCGTCGAATGCAGAGATGCTCCGTTACTCGCGTGATGACCTAACGTCTCTCCTAATGCATCTTTTGTCCTGCAAGAATTGTCCAAGCGAATAGCTAGCGATTCATTCCCCTGGCAAACAAAGAAAAGAACGTTTTCTAAGAGCGAGTGCATGGCGCAAGGTGACGGAAGTGATGGACGACGGCGTGTCGGGACCTACTGGACGAGTGGGCGATAGCCACGGGGAAATATGACAGGAGCGACAGCCCTCGTGGGCAAGCGAGTCAGACGAGGACAGTGAACCAGAACAAAGGATATGTCAGATAGCGACGTTATCTTAGTCGTTGATGGCCGACAGAGGGAACGCCAGTCTCGGTCTTCCGCGAGCGATGCCAAAATTCGAGCTTCCATCGCGTCATACAGAGGCCGCCTGGCGTCTTCGCGAGAACGTAATATAGAAGAAAAGTTAGGTTAGAGAGCGGAAGAGAGAGAGAGAGAGAGAGAGAGTTTGCTGAAAGTTGTTGGAGGAACAACACAACTCTTCCAAGGAAAGTTCGCGTACAAAGTTGAGATTCGCGAGCAAAGAAATAGAAACAATCGCGAGTCTCGTTGGAAAATTCGGTCAAAGATCCGAGTGGTAGACACCGAAATGCGTAAAATTGGACTGCGCCGTGATTTATAATTTTCGTTTTTGCGTAGCTGGAATTTTCTACGAGTCGATATTGTGCGTCATTGAAGTATCGCGTAGGTTATAGAAAGAGAATGTTTCTGCGAATCGGCCTTAGATCGTTAAGAGTTCCTTTCGATAAGTATATATGTGCTGCGTTAAGCGTTCGTTCGAATGTTGATTGAAAGAAAGCTGTTTAGCGGATTTTCGTGCTCTGATGTTTAGGATATTTCATTTGTATTTATACAATTAGATGTTTTTAGATGGTTAACTGTAATCGACTGTAACTTTATGACTGTGAAAAGAACAGAAGTTTGAGAATCGTGTGAAAAGAAATTCAGTATAGATGCGTTCTAGAACAAAAATATAAATAGGAAATTTCATCACAAACTTGAGAATATTGTAATTTATGACATAAATGTATATTGTTTTATGAAAAGATAAAAGTTTATTTTTAATATTTTTTTTACTTTTGTCATATACACTTTATATTTTTATATTTATTTATGTCCACCTATACCCTCCTTTTACATATGAATTTGATTCAACTTTTTGTTTAAAATAAAAATTAATCTTGTTAAAGTAATCATTCGAATTTTATATTTCCAAAAAATCATGATACAGTTTTTATTAAATGAAGATATTAATGAAATTTTATTACACGTTGGTACTTTGTTATTTAATATATTTAACTTAAAAAATCTTATAGCTTTTTTATTCTTCAAAGAAGCGAAGATAAATTCATGATTATTGCGTATAAGTGATTAATAGACTATGTGATACAGTAAATGATACATTCGGTTTTACGCATGTCGCATTAATTTATAAAGATGTAATTGTAGAAGCGATAATAGCTCATAGGGCCTAGATTAGGCGTTTGTATTTAAATAGCTTTGTAATTTTGAAGAACTTCATAATTGTTTCTTATACCATACAATTAGTGCAAGACATTATGATTGTTAACGATTGTACAATTGATTATTTATTTACATTTCTGCTTGATCGAATGGAAAGAAAGAAATAGAAATGTTAGTCTATGTTTAAGAATAACATCACAATGCTTAGTGCAACTCATAATTATTCAAATGATTATTAAGCATGAAAAAAAAGAGATAAAAATTAGCATTCTAAAATATAAATAACTTCTAGTACTTTATATCATATAATGTTTATTTATTTGACGTATTTATTAATTATAGTTTGAATAAAATAAATTTGTAATAACTAACTTTTTATTAAAAACAATCAACATTTTTAAATATACTATTAATAAATAATAATAGACTAAAAGCTCATATCACGTAGAAAGCACCGATTTCCGGCTGATCTTCGTAATTAAACTGTATTGAGTACTTCAAGCACTTAAATGAATAATTACGTAATAACTTTGAATGCAATTGACATAAATGGTTCAATTAACTTTATTTAAAATTGCAGTTCCGTAAACATTATTGAGTAACATAAAAAACAATTATATTTCTAATGATTAAATTTTCAATGAGTTACATTAGTAGAAAAATATATGTATACGTTTTTTTAGGAAATTAAATTGCTGTCTCGAATAATTAAATTAATGCGTAATTAAATAAATTGTATATTCGATTAAATTTAAAATTTATTTTGATTTGAATAATTGTGTGCTGTACTCGGGAGTGTGTATGATGAGATAAGTAGAAAAGAATGTGATGAAACAAAAAAGTTACAACTGTGTTGCTTAGATTTACTGATAGTACATTCATAACAAATGGTTTTATATGTAACAATACACGTTGTATCACATTATCAATTCGTACAGCGTATGATCGCACGATGTACAAATCAGTAGTAAAATTTCCACACAAGCGATTGATACTAACTGTAAGTTTAATATTATACAATGTACTAATTAAATTATTATACACGTATGGCAATTGATAATAAAAATTCGCGAAGACGTAAATCATTGTTTTACGCAACTTGTTTAGTACAAATAATTTTAGTTTCATTTAAAACGAAAGATTTTCCTTTGTTTATTGTTACTATCGTATTCTGAATAGATAAAAGGTATGGTATAGCGATAAAGGCCGTTTAGTTTAGTTTAACATACGTATTTATAAGTATATAAAAGAATAAATTAATTTCTCGTACAATTGTGCAATACAAATGCATTTTTAAATTTCTTAAGATATTCGCTATGATCAAAATAATGTGCAACAATATGTCGAATGATGTCGACGATAATGTAATTCCATCAAGTTCAATAAAATTATTTGTTACAAAATATGTAATAAAAAGCAACTGAAAATACTTGTTTGTATAGTTCAAAATATTTACATATTAAAAAGTATTAAGGGATTTATATTAACACTAAGTTGGTTGTATTATTGAAAGGTACTTCTTTCATTGCATTTTGTAGTTAAAAATTTAACATATTGTTAAGTTAGTATCTTAATATGACACTATATGGTAACTAGCATTTGAATTTCAATTACAATGATCAGCTAAAATTACTCATATAGAACAAACTTGTTAACTTTTTTATGTAAGTTTTAAAGTAACTTTCACTGTTTATGATTTGTATCATCTATCAAATAAAATTAACCATTAGCAGCTCTATAATTTTGTTCCTTTGCAAACATTATATAGAAAACAAATGTTTAACCTTTAAATACATATCATCACAAATACGAATGAAATACACATAAGTTAGATATGTATATACATAAAGCTCAGAAAAATATAACATAATTATATTACACCTTTTTTATTCTGTTGTTGAGCATCTTGATGCTTCCAACACATTAATTCATCTAAAATTTCAACTAATATAGGATTTCCACCTAAACGGTGAACTTCATCTCTTGCTTTCTTATCCAATTCTTCTAACACATTTCTGGTATAAGCAAAGGATCCAAATTTTTCTAACAAATTAACACAATATCGTTTTACCTCGATATCCTTAGTTCGTTGCCTGAGAATATCTATATCCTCTATTTAAGAAATAATAACAATATTGAAATATATTGTAAACATAACATTACTTGTATTTATATAAAGGATACTCATTATTTGTCTATCTTCTGAATGACTTTGCACAGCATGTATAATAGGAAAACTAAATTTTCCTTCAGAAAGATCCTCGCAGTAACTTTTATTTTCAGCATACTATAAAAATTATGAATATATACCAAAGTATTAATTTATTTATTTAATCTGAAAACTTACCTCTTGTAATATTAAATTACAGTAATCATCACGAATTTGAAAATAAAGCCCTAAGATACCAGCTAAGGGTGTATAATCTTCTTTGCATTCAGAAAATAGTTGCATTAATCTCACAGCTAAATTAAACAGTCCACCTGTTTCTATAGAAAAGGATTAAAATACACTGGAATATAAAATCATTTGAAAATTAATTAATTAATTACTTAAAGCTTACTTCGAATTGTCATTTGTTTATAGGCTGTTTCAGAAGGGCAAATATAATTATCTCTCCAATAAATTTCCATCCCCTGACCTCTATGAAGTTCTAATAATTGTTCTACATATACTTGCGTAGCCTAACATAAATTTTAAAAGTATTAAAATAAAAATGTATAAAATATAAAAATTTGTATATGATATGTTTACCTCTGGATGATTTAAAGCGAGCACTTTTTCCAAAGCAATAAATAGGACATAATTTGCAGCATTTATGGTATTTGCTGTACCATAAATATTATGAGCTACAGGAATACCCCTTCTTAAAACCGAATTATCTTGAATGTCATCAATTCTGTAAATATCACACTCTATAAACTCATTGTTCCATAAATATATTCAGTAGAATCACTGATGACGGAAAGATGTTTCAAACTATCAAACTATCAAAATAAACGAACTCTGCAAACTCACAGAAGGCTGGAAGTATGGAGTAGCTGTATAATATCTCCAACATTACGAAATTTATCTTGCGGTATTTTTAACCAATAATTGAAAGCATGTGCTAATTTGGCCCTGATCTGTTTTCCAGGGACTCGAAGAATGTAACTAAACGGTTCCAATAATATCTATAAAGAAACATACTTAAAATTTTTAAGACACAAGACGACGTAATATAATAGTGTACACAGTTCATTCTTGTCACTTTGACATATTTCTTAACCTCACTATTCAGGATTCATAACTAAATGCAAACTAACCTTATCTTCTTCCTTGTCACCGGTCTGCGAATAAGGTATATTTTTATCTTGCTCCATAACGTATTCCAACACAATAGAAACAATTGAATCAAATCGTATTTACTTTAATAAGTACAATTATTTAGAACTAACGTGTACCAAATAATCAGCGATACTGACGGACTACACGCTTACAAGTAGAGCCGACGCTGCTCCGTGCAGTGCGTCGTCTGCTATGCGATCACGTTGTGGTGTTCACGTAGATAAAGTAATGCATATATATACAATGTATATCGCATGTTTGTTGATCACCGCTTGTATAAAATCATTAAAAAGTTGTTTATCTATTTGAGTAATTTCAAAGTAAAAATATGTAGGAAAAACTTATATATACATATGTATATATTTCTTTGAAAATGAAAATTCAGTCATTTTTTAAATCGAATAAAAGATAATATATGCTTCATATTAGTATCGTTTATCTTTCTTTACGCCATACTAAACATTTTCAAGACACATGTTTTTTTTTATTTATCCTAAAGTTAGGAGTCAAGTGAAATCAAATCGACAAAATCTGTAGCAACAAAAAGACAAAATCTTACAAATTTTACAAAATCATTAAAAATTAATTTAAACAATCACTAATACTATCGTATATCAACAATATAGACTGCCGCATCATTTAAATATGACGTAAGTACAAAAGTGTCATAAGAAAGGAATTTGTTCTTCAATAACCTTAAATTGGATGCATTCGGTATAGCAGTGAGTCATTTTGTATAACCGCTCTGATTAATCAATTTATCTAATTTGTTATTTATTATATAAATTCTTATCATTAATTGTTAAAAATTGATCACAGACATTACGGAAGTCTTAATTTTATCAATGTAGCTTCGACTTAATTTCTTTTCCGTCAATTATCGTAAAAGATTTCGAAAAATATTTGTTGACAAATGCTTATCAACATTAATTATAGTGTCTGAAAGGATTTACCCGTACAATTGAAGAAATACAGTTATAGCAAAGTGTGATTTATTCTTACAAAAAAATAATTATACAATAACTTATAAAAAGTCTTACATGATACATATGTACAATTCGCGTCAGTATATAAAAAGGTTTCATAATTGACTTTTATTCTTTATGAAATGTTTTATGTAAATTTTTTATGTAAATGAACATTTTTTCAATTTTTTTCTACAAATGCTTCACGCTTGTTGCGTGTAGAATTCAATGCGAATATAAGTTACAAAAATACAATTGTACTCTGACTAGTTCACGACG